TGTGCAAAGGTAACTATGGTTTCGGGTTCATCTTGACAAAAGAAAACGAAAATGTTTTATGCTCCAAGACGATCAGAATCGAAATGGCAGAGTTATGTTCAAATGTTCAATAAAGTGTTCAATCGCCCCTAGCGGCCAAACGGTGCGTCGGAGGTCAATTCTGACGGCAGTTTTTGCCCTAAACTCAACCCGAAGGGTTGGAGAGTCGCATCTCGCCGAGACGAACAAAACGCATCCCTCGAACGTTCAATTTGAACCAATTTGGCCATGGCAATCCGCCCATCGTTATTTGAGGGCTAATAACTTCTCCATTTCGACTCTGATCGGCTCTGAGCATAAGACATTTCCTTTTTAATTTTACAAGAGGAATCTTAATCAGGGATAACATTTTTAATTTGATAGCTTTTTAAAAATCTAGATACTTCATTGGAAGACAAAATAATAGTTTCAGTCGTAGAATGACTAGAAGTCATTTCATCGTACAAAAAGACATCTTAAAGGTTTCTTAAGCTTACAACTTATTTTCTTAACAGCCAAGTACTTGCAAGAGACCGAACAATATTAGAGCCACAGTCGCAACTTAGTGTAGGATAAGCCGTTCAAAAGCAGAACGAGATATATGATTCTCCCCAGGCTAAAAAAACCATGGGGACGACCATGGTAAAATTTTCACCATGGTTCTCCATGGTTATCCATGGTGTGCACTTCAGATTTATGATGGTATTATGGTCATGGTGAAACCATGGGGACCAATCCACATGGAAACCATGGTTAAAGATTGCTCTATGATTGCGGAGATTATGGTTGACATGGTGTTACCATGGTCCACTACGTGCCTCTGGTGCATCGAGATAACCATGGTCTTGTAATAACTATGGTCTTTTGTAATAACCATGGTCTTGTAATAACCATGGTCTTGTAATAACCATGGTCTTTTGTAATAACCATGGTCTTGTAATAAGCATGGTCTTTTGTTCTAATCATGGTCTTGTAATAACCATGGTCTTGTAATAACCATGGTCTT